AATACTAATAAATTTTTAAAATTCACCAGAAAATCCAGAAATTTTACTGACTTCTATGTATGAAGCAGAGTTAAGTGAGATTTTTTCCATATAATGTACATTATTTAATATATTCTTATATGTAAATATGCAGTTCTCACTTTTGTTATAAGTTGACATTTTAATTCCTTTCTGAAATATAATATCTGAAACAGTCATTCACCCTTATAGAAGTAGCTAATGGAACCACCTCACTCGAATAAAAAATGAAAAGAAAAGATGCATTCCTTTAAAAATATATTAATCTCAAAATGTAAATGTAAGCCAGAAGACATACTTGCACTCTAAGGAAAAGAGATCTGAAGAATGACTTGTCCGTACAAAAGTAAACTGTCTTTTACTTGGCTGTTCAAATTATGCAGATTTATAAGAACAGTATTTCATTAAATCACACTGTTACATGAAAAAAATATATTTTGACCTCCTTTACATCTACTGCACAAAGGATATGTTCCTAAGTTGTCAATGCTAGAATAGACTAAAGAGGATTCTGTCATCCAGTTTTAAAAGTCCTGATTAGACCATTTAAAATTTTAATAATCTATTAAATTATTTATAAACTAAATGAATATGAAGGCTAGATTTGAACACAGACACAATCTTAAGTGAAATTCCTCAGTGTCTACTCACTATCACACTCACCCAACAAATTCTCTTCTTTTCCTCCCCTTACATGTGATTCAAATAGCTTTCTGCTACAGAAAGCAAAACAACAACAATAAACTGTTATCACTCCTCATTCTCATCCCCATATAGTTCCGCCTCTCTAACGTCCTTCTACTTCTGTTCTCTGGAAATACATTCTCTCAACCCAGCTCCCGTGCCTCTTTTTATCATCTTGCATACATAAAAACCTGGCCCTTTCTAGAAGTCACAATATTCCTGGATCTTCTTCAAGACCAGGTGTTCCTTCTCTGGAGCTTCTGCCCACAAAGTGGACTAAAAGTAGGAGGAGGTAGACTCCATGCTCCTCACTGACATTTTAAGTCCTTCCCTCTGCTTCTATCACAGAACCTCTTCTTTTTAGATTCACTGCATCTACATATACCATTCCAAAATTCAATAAATAAAATACATTTCAGAAACTCAGATTCCAATCATATATATCACAAAACAGCATGCCTTAAAGTATACAATAAATAATAACAAATATACTTTAACCTTTATACTTGGATTTCTTGTTACGTGTTAACTTTCTAAACTTCATTACAAAAAGGGAAAAATTAAAACTACTAAAACATAGATGTTTTAGGACACTATGCAAAACATTAGTGCTTTCACAATGGAAGAATTATTACAGAAAAAATATGGAAAAGGGCACAATCTATTACAATCCCTCTCATTTTATGCCTCATCTTTCCATTTTCTACAAAATCTAAGTCATCTCTCTAACATGTTTCTCAATTTTTTTTGATTATAAGTTACTTCTACTTGTTCACCCTACCTCAGCCACACACAAAGATGGTCATACCATTGATCCAGTCAACATTCCAATAAATGCCCCAACTCCATGTTTAAGAATTCCAAAATCCCCTTATCTGACCATATTCTATTGGCTTTCGACCACTCCCTCTGCCTTCACTTACCAAAATCTATTCTTTGTCCACATCATGATCTCCAGTCCCTTTACCTTAAGATTCCTTCCCAGTCATCTCCCCTGCATTAACCACTATACTCTTTTCCCCATCTTGACTCTTTTGTGAGCCAATTCAATTCTAAGGTCTACTCTAATTCACTCAACTCTCTACCACTCTTAGCATATCACTGATTGTGCCCTGCCAAGGCTCAGCCTTGGATCACTTCCACCATCCCCCTCCTTCACAACTACATACATCTACACACATACTGATGAATGATGATGGAGAAAATCTCATTAGACCATTCTGACTAGATCCACTACAAATTTATGTATAAACACAAGCTCAACTGGGCTCTCACTTAGAAACCTGAACCTTTACTACTGCTAGGCAATCCTTTGTTACCTGCCTTATTAATTCACTCTCCATATCAGCCCTTCCAAACCTTTTCATTCTCTTTCAAGCCTCCCATGGCTCCTTCCCACTCCCCCACCCCCGCCCCAGGCAAGAACCCTGCCTCATATTTTAAAGAAAAAATTGAAGTCATTCATCATGAGCTCCCTCTTCTCTCCTCTTCCTCATCTCATATCACTCACATGCTTTTTGACACTACCTTCTTTCACATCACATGATGAGGTGTTTTATTCCTTCCTTACCAACGATAACCCCTGTAAGTTCAAGTTATCCCATTCTATCCCAGCCCCTCCAACAAAGGGCAATCTCATTCTTACTTTTTCACTTAGTTTCAGTCTCTCCCTATCTAATAATTCCTTCCCTACTGAATGTCAAAGATATTCACGTCTTCCCCAAATTCAAAAATACCTCACTTGATCCTTCCTACCCCTCTCATCCTATATCTCTTTTGCCCTTTGTGGGTAAATTTCTTAAAAAGGCCATGTACATTGTCTCTATTTTTTCTCCTCTCACTCTCTTCTTAACCCTTTATAATTCGACTTCTGACCTTATCATTCCACCAAAGCTGCTGTCTCCAAAGTTATCAGTGATCTCTTAGTTGTGAAATTCAACAGCAAAATTTTCTCAAATCTCAGTCTCAAACTCATGGTAGCCTCTAACTCTATGCATTCCCTTCTTCTCCTTGATATTCTCTTCTCTCTAGGTTTTTGGGACATAATTCTCCTGGTTCTCCTCCTATGTATCTGACCATTCTTTCTCTGTCTCCTTCAAGAGATCTTCCTCCAGATCATGCTTTCCAACCACGGATCTCCCTCAGGGTTCTGTCTTGGACCCTCTTCTCCCTGTATACCACTTCACTTAGTGATCTCATCAGATCCCATGGATTTAATTATCATCCTTATGCTGATGATTCTCAAACTTACCCATCTTGCCCCAGTCTCTCTCCTGACCTCCAATCTCACATCTCCAGCTGCTTTTTAGACATCTTGAAATGGATGTCCAATAGACATCTTAAACTCAATATATCCAAAATGGAATTTGTTATCCTAAACCCTTCCCTCCTCCTATCTTCCATGTTACTGTATACAGCAAAGCTATTCTCCCAGTCCACACAGGCTTACAACTAGAAGGTATTCTCGACTCCTCACCTCCACTTCCTCTCACCCTCCATTTTCAATCTTTTGCTCAGGGCCTGTTGATTTCACCTCTGCAGCAACATTTCTCAAATATGCCCCCTTCTCTCCTTTGACACTGTCATTATTCTAGTGTGAAACCTCACAACCTCATGCCTGGACTATTGTAATAATTTACTGGTGGGTCTGACTGCCTCAAGGCTCTCCCCACTCTAATTCACCCTCCATTCAACCACCAAAGTAATTTTCTTAAAGTTCAGGTTCAACCATGTCACCCACCTACTCAATAAACTTCCCTTTTTTAATCATCTCCTATTTATCCTGTATATAGCTTGCTTTACATAGATTTGCATGTGATCTCCCCCATAGATTATAAACTCCTTGAGGTCTGGAACTGTCTTTTACCTCTTTTGGTATCCCCAGTGCTTAGCAAGTACCTGGCACATAGTAGGTGCCTAATAAATGTTCACTGATTGATTTTTTTTTAATTTAAAAAAAATTTTTTTAGGCAATTTGGGGCTGACTTGCCCAGGGTCACACAGCTAGTAAGTGTCAAGTGTTTGGTCGAAGGCTGGATTTGAACTCAGGTACTCCTGACTTTAGGGCCAGTGCTCTTATCCACTGTGCAACCTAGCTGCCCCTACTGATTGATTTTTTTTTCTTTCAGAACCAAATATACAATCCTCTGTTTGGCCTTTCATAATCTTTACAATCTTCTTACACCTTTACTCCCTGAAATGTACTCATCCTGTTCAATCCACTGACACTGGCTTCCTTGCTGTTCCAGGAACAAGACACTCCATCTCTCCTCTCAGGACACTTTCTCTCAGGACATGTCCCCCATGCCTGGAATGCTCTCCCTCCTCAACTCTGCCTATTAATTTCCCTAATTTCCTTTAGCTCTCCACCATCAGATTGTGAGCTCCTTCATGGCAGAAACTGTCTTCTGACTCTTTTTCAATCCCCAGTGTTTAGCACAGTGCTTGTCAAAGGTGTTTAATAAGTGTTGTAACAGGTGTTTAATAAATGTTTATTGACAGACCATTCCCCAGCCAAGCGACCTTAAGCAACTCACTTCATTCCATCTCCTTTTCCACATCTACAAAAGGAAGGGGTTGGACCAGGTGGTATCAAAGGTCCTACTTGTATCTCCAGCACCTGCATCATAGTAGGCACTCAACAAATTCTTGATTGGGATTCCTTTCCTGCAGATTCTTTACCTAGGGGCCATGGACAGATTTTTTTTTTGCGGGGGGGGGGGGTTCCTGTAAACTTGGATGGGAAAAAACTGCATCCTTATCTTCACTAACCAATTATTCAAAACCCTTTTTCTGAGAACGGATCCAGCGGCTTCACCAGATTGGCAAAGGGGCTCAGGACACAAAAATGGGTTAAAGTTGCGAGGTCCAAGAAAGGGTAGTACGGCGAGGAAAGGAAGGAGGGAGAGATGAAAAAGTAGACTGTTCCCTCTCTGCTTGTTTTTAAAAAGTGAGCACCTAGCTGAGGTTGGGTTTAGTTGCAATTCTTCCGAAAGTATGGGAGATAGAATCTGTGACCTTTCCGACCCTGGGATTAAAGCACTTGGATTAGGAAACGTCCTCAGCAATCATCTAGGCCAACTTCGTTATTTTACAAACGAGGAAACCGAGGCCCAGAGAAGTTAAGTGACTCATCCAAAGTTGCACGTTAGTAAACGACAGAGCGGGGATTCGAACTCAGATCCCCCGACTCGCAGCCCAATGGGCGCGGTCCACACTGCTTCCTGCGAGGCTGCCATCCCACTCCAGGGAATTGCGGGGAAGCCCCGAAGCCGCGCCCGCCCCCATTGCGCGCTCACCTTGCCGTTCGTGGGCGGCTCCTGGATGTAAATGTTGCTCATGCTGGGTGGCCGAGGGGGAGGGGAGACTCCCTGCTCGGTTACGAGGCTCAGGGGCGCTCGCTCGGACCGTCCGCGCTGCCCGGCGAAGGGACAGCCCAGTGCTCGGACCGTCGGCGGCCAGGTGCGACCCCAGCTGCGGCCCCGACCGCGGCTCCTCTCTCTCCCGCAGCCTAGCGAGGCGCTAACGGAGCAAGGCGGCCGCCATACTGCGCCCGGCCCGAGCACCGCGCTCTGAAGGGAGGGGGCTCCTCGACCCTCTCCTACAGAAATGCTCCGGCAGAGGCGAAGGCGGCCCGCTAATCATCCACTGGAAGTTAAGAGTCATTTACTTATCCAGCCTCGCCAGAAACCTTCTTGTGGTTTGTTACTCTTTAGCCTGCGACTGGCAATTCCTCTTACCACCACCACCCCCCCAGGATATGTCAGAAATGGTTTGGACGGCTAGTGCTCGGTCCTCTGCCTCCGCCCGGGAACTGCGGCTGAAGCCGCCGGGTTCTGTAGCCTTCCTTGGGACCCGCGTCCCTAAGAGGAGGTGCTGGCGGGAGCGGCGGGCGGCCGGCGAGAGGCACCGGAAGCGAGTCCAGGGAGCTGAGGCCCAGAGGCGGCCCCCACCCCGGCCATGGCCCTGCCAGGTGACTGACTGCCCCCTGGGGCGGCGGGGGGTGAAGGCGCAGGCCGGGAGCCCGGCGGAGCCGAGCCGGGCCGGCCGGGGGAGACGTGTCGGGGGAGCCCGTGGCTGCGCGGCCTGGGCGAAGGAGGGCGTGTGTGGGGGTGCTTCTGTGGTGTCTGTGTGGTTGAGTGTGCGTGTCTGTGAGTGTGAGCGGGTATGTGTGGTGTGTATTTATGTGTGCAAGTAGTATGTGAACACATGCATAGTGTGTATTGTGTCTGTGATCGTGTATGCGGTGTGTGTATATTTGGTGTGTATGTGTGTATGCATGTAGTGTGTGAACACGTGTGGTGTGTCAGTTGTGTGTGTGATCGAGTGTGCGGTGTGCGTGTCTGTGAGTGTGAGCGTGTGCGTGTGGTGTGTATTTATGTGTGTATGTAGTGTCTGAACACAAGTATGGTGTGTGCTGTGAATATGTGATTGTATATGTGGTATACATGTGTGAGTGTGTAGATGTGGTGTGTGTACCTGTAGGTGGAGGCAGCTGTGTGGATCAGTGGAGAGAATACTGGGCCTGGAGACAGGAAGACCTGAGTTCAAATGAGGCCTCAGACACTTATTCGCTGTGTGACCCTAGACAGGTCACTTAACCTTAATCCACTGGAGATGGAAGTGGCAGACCACTCCAGTAACTTTGCCAAAAAAAGCGCATGGACAGTATAGTCCACAGGTCGCAAAGAATTACACACAGCACAACGTACACGTAATTATGTATGTATGTGGTATGTATATGACTAGATATATGTGGTACGCATTTATGTGTGTGTATGTGTATGAATGTAGTGTATAATGTGATTGTGTGTGTACAGTGTATGTGTGAGCATGTACATCTAGTGCATGCATGTTTACATGTATTATGTGACAGTATATGTGGGACATGCATGTGATTACATGCGTGTGGTATGCCATGTGTGTGTGGTTTGTGTGCTTGTCTTGTGATGTACATGTATACATATATGTGTGTATAAATGTATTTTGTACTTGTGAGTGTGTAACATGTGTGTTCTGTGTATGGGTGTGTATACATGCTGTGTGTGCATGCATGTGTGTATGTGGTATATACATGTTTATGTGACATGTTTATCGGTATATGTGTGTCTGTGATTGTGTGTATGTGTTATGGGTGTAAGCGTGCCTTGTGTGGTGTGCACATGCATGCAGATGTGATCACATATCTGTGCCATACGTTCAGTCACATACATGCAAACATATCTATACTACATTGTATGATGTCTTTCATATGCATGGGTATATGTTTGTGCTGTGCATACCATGTGTATATGAATGTATAAGTGCATTGTGGTGTGTGCTGTTACATGTATGACTGTATGTGTATATGTAGTATGTGTATATGTGATATGTGTATGCTTGATGTATGTCATGCATTTATGTATGCATGTGGTATGTATATATATTATATGTGTGGTATGTGTGCACAAATGCTTGTGTGGGAAAGAGTAGATGTGATGGGGGAGGAGAATGATGTTTTTAAAAGCTTTTTAATAGTAATGCTTTTTTTTTTAATTACACATACACACAGAATGTGTCAACAGAAATATCTTAAGTGGAAAAACCTTGTGTTTCCCAGATAATATAAGAATTATCTTGTGTTAATAAGTTTATTGTTGTTTAGTCATGTCTGACTCTTTGCGACCCTATTTGGGGCTTTCTTGGAAAAGAGATTGCAGTAGTTTACATTTCCTTCTCCAGTTCATTTTGCAGATGAGGAAACTGAGGCAAACAGGGTTGAGTGACTTGCCCAGGGTCACACAGCTAGGAAGTGTCTGAGAGCAAATTTGAACTCGAGCTTTTCTGACTCCAGGCTTTCTGACTCCACTCTGTCCACTGTGCCATCTAGTTTATGTTAAGTTAAAAGATTTCTCTTTCCTCTCGTTCTCCTTTTTTGTCTGGGGAATAAAGGGATTCCATAGTAATTGATATATGTTGGAATATCAATAACCACTTAGAACACAACTTGTCTGGAATGTAATAGTATATTTTAGTGAGTTTGTCAAGGCTTAGAAAGAGTGACTTGCCCATAGTATCCAACCAGTTAGTGTTTGAAGCAAGACTTGACCCTAGCTCTTCTGATTCTATCTACTATGCCACACTGCTTGTCTCTGTGTATTATGTATGTTTTTGATATAAAAGCATTTTTAAACTTTTTTCATTTTAAGACATTCTTGGGTTCTTTACATATTTGTGTGTCTCCTAAAATATGTATGATTTTATTTCAGGTAGCAACAAGGACAATATCAGAGCTGGATGTAAAAAATGTGGCTATCGTAAGTACTACATACTCTAAGATTCCATACTATAATATTTCATATTGCAGCTTTTAGAACTGTTATGTTATAACTATGTTTTATTTAGTATCCTGGAATGTAACAAAAAGCCTGACGTCCCAAAAAGCATTTATAGGTTCAGAGATTCCAATATCGGAACAAAGAGAATTCACCATTACTGACTGTTAAGAATCAGTGAGAAATCTTATGACTGTCCAAGAATAGAATAAGCAGGATTCTAGTGCTTAGTTATAGAATGTAATTTCATGCAAACTGTGTTCCAAAAAAGGAATCTTTGAATGTATTTCCTTACCTTTTAACTTTACTGTAAGAATAGATCATATAAAGCCCAGCAGTGCAATAAATGGCTGTTTATTGCCATTGACTAATTGACAACTATCTGATTACTTTTTTTATATTTATATCTGTATTCTAAACCATCTTCTTGGCATAACTTTTTTTATTCCTATGGTTTATAAATCATTATCAATTTGCTTGTATCATTCATCAAGTTTTGATTAAACACCTGGTATATGCAGAGCCTTTTACTTGAAAACTGTCTTTGTTTTCAAAATTGCATTTAATTTTCTAGCTTGTGTACTAATGTATTCATTTATCACAGATAGGTTTGGTTGTGAAAGTTTTATTTAAACATTAAGACTATTAACATATTCATAAAATCACCAAAAAGTTTTTTCAGAAAATAAAATGGCAGTTTGAGAAGCATGGTGGTGTATTAGGAAAACCAGTGATTTTGAAGTTAGATATCTTGGATTCCATTCAATTGGGAATGGCTAAACAAGTTATAGTTCATGAATATAATTGAGTACCACTATGCTGTAAGAAATGATAAATATGATAACTCCAAAGAAAAAGAGGAGTCTTATATGAACTAATCCAAAACGAAATGAGTTAAGACAGCAAAATTTTATTAAACACCTATGACGCTATATATAAGTACTGGAAAGACAAAGAAAGAACCCCCTCCCCCTTTTAGGGAGCTAATGGCCAAGTTTAGCCATAAAGAAGAGAGATAAGAGGTTACTCACCTCCTTCCTTACAAAATTAAGGTGGTATTGTCGAAGAATACTTCACATGATGTCAGACTGTCTCATTTTGTTAGTTTTGCTGAGTTACTTATTTTTGTTTTTTATTTGTTTTCAGGGATTGCTATCTGGGAGGGGGAGGAAGAATTTATTAGGGAATGTAGGTGATAAAAAAGCAAAAGAACAAAAATTGTTTTTTAAAAAAATTTGGGTTCTATTCCCAGCTCTGACACTACCTACATGTTTCTGAGCAAACTAATTAACCTATCTGAACTTCATTTTCTTTATCAATAATGGGAATAATATTTGTGCTAGTAATTTGATGGTGCTGTTGGAGTCATTGTCCAATAGACATTGTTTAGTATTTGTGATTATAAGAATATTTTCACAGTAATCAAGACCATTGTTTTTACCTTTGAATAATCTCTTCAGAAAACCTCTTTTGAAGTAAATAATGCAAGTTTGTTCATTTCTAATATATCCTATCTGAGGTGTTTCCCTAAAATTTGTTAGTTTCCCAGTTGTAGATTTGTAGATAACAAGAGAGCCATATGGCTTCTCCCCCACCAGTTCTGCAAACAGCAGGGGATTCTTTTTTATCTGGTTAGCTCTCTTAGAGCAACTCTTCTTAGAATAAAATAAATGCAAAGACTCTGCTTGTTTATCATTGGCATGTCAGAGGCCCCTAACATACAACACTGATAAACCACTGAGTTTTCCCCTCTTTCATACTTTAATAGTACTAGAGGGCAGTCCTTCCTTTTGCCAAATAATCAGCTCTCAGCAAAGGAGTGTCTTCTTCGCACATGTCCTGGCATAACAGGTGCAGATCCTGCATGTAGCATTTCAACTCCTGATAGCTCCTGGGTCTCTTTCATTAGCATCTCTTTTTAATTATCTCCTAATATTCTGTTCCTGATTGCCTCAGCTTGTTCTCCTGATAATTTTTTTTTAACGTTTTCATTTCAATTTTGAGTTCTAGATTCTATCCCTCCTTTCCTCCTTTCCCTCCCCCCTCCCTGAGATGGTAAGCAATCAGCTATAGGTTATACATGCTTTATGTATGTAAAACATTTCCATATTAGTCATTTTGTACAAGTAGACTCAAAAGAAAAAAATAAAAGAAAGTGAAAAATAGCATGCTTCAGTCTATTCAAACAATATCAGTTCTTTCTCTGGAGGGGGATAATATGCTTCATCATTAGTCCTTTGGGATTGTCTTAGATCATTGTATTGCTGAGAATAGCAAGTCATTTACAGTTCTTCATCAAACAATATTGCTGTTACTGTATACAATGTTTTCTTGCTGCTATTTACTTCACTATGCATCAGTTCATATAAGTCTTTCAAGGTTTTTCTGGAATCATCCTGCTTGTCATTTCTTATAGCACAATAATATTTCCATTACAATCATATACCACAGCTTGTTTAGCCATTCCCCAATTTATGGGCATCCCTTTGATTTCCAATTCTCAGACACCACAAAAAGAACTACTATAAATATTTTTCTACAAAGAGGTCCTTTTCCTCATTTTTTTGATATCTTTGGTATAGAGACTTGGCAGTGGTATTTAACTGGATCAAAGGGTATGTATGCACAGTTATAGCCCTTTGGGCATAGTTCCAAATTGCTCTCCAGAATGGTTAGATCAGTTCACAACTCCACCAACAGTGCATTTGTGTCCCAATTTTTCCACATCCCCTCGAACAGCCAACATTTTCCTTTTTTGTCATATTAGCTAATCTGATCGGTGTGAGGTGGTACCTCAGAGTTCTTTTAATTTGTATTTCTCTGATCAATGATGATTTAGAGCATTTTTTCCTGTGACTATAGATAACTTGGATTTCTTTGTCTGAAAACTGCCTGTTCATATCCCTTGACCATTTATCAATTGGGGAATGACTTATGTTTTTATAAATTTATACTCTATATATTTAAGAAATGAGGCCTTGATCAGAGATATTTGTTGCAACAGTTTTTTTTCCCAGTTTTCTGCTTTCCTTATAATTTAGGTTGCATTGGTTTTGTTTGTGCAAAAACTTTTTAATTTTATATAATCTTTCTCTTTTACATTTTGTAATGCTCTCTATATCTTTTCTGGTCCTAAATTCTTTCCTTATCCATAAACTGATAGATAAAATATTCTGTGCTCTCTTAATTTGCTTATGGTATCAACCTTTAGGTATAAAACATCCAATTTGACCTTATTTTGGTATATGGTGTGAAATATTGGTTCATACCTAATTTCTGTCATACTGTTTTCCCAGCAGTTTTTGTCACATAAAGAGTTTTTGTTCTAAAAGCTGGATCTTTAGGTTTATCATATACTAGATTACCATGGTCATTTACTATAATGTAATTTGTATCTAATCTATTCCACTGATCTACCAGTCTATTTCTTACTATCCACTCACTCTATTTCAAAACTAGATTGTTTTGATAATTAGCACTTTATAATACAGTTTGAGATATGGTATGGCTAGACCACCTTCTTTCGCATTTTTTTTCATTGATTCCCTTGATATCCTTGAACTTTTTTGTTCTTCCAGATGAATTTTGTGATTATTTCTCTAGCTTTATAAAATAACTTTTTTGATAATTTGATTGGTATGGTACTGAATAAAAAGATTAATTTAGGTAGTATTGTTATTTTTATTTTATACTGGCTCAGCCATGAGCAAATAATATTTTTCCAATTGTTTAGATTTGATTTATTTGTATGAAAAGCGTTTTATTGTTGTGTTCCTGGATTTGCCTTGGCAGGTAGACTCCCAAGTATTTTATATTGTCTACAACTATTTTAAATGGGATTTCTCTTTCTATCTTTTGCTGCTGGAATAGTTGGTAATATATAGAAATGCTGGTGATTTATGTGAGTTTATTTTGTATATTGCAACTTAGCTGAAATTGTTAATAATTTCAAGTAGGTTTTTAGTTGATTCTCTAAGATTTTTAAGTATAGCATATATCATCTGCAAAGAGTGATAGTTTTGTTTCCTCATTGCCTATTCTAATTTCTTTAATTGTTTTTTCTTATCTTATTGCTATAACTAACATTTTTAGTACAGTATTAAATAATAGAGGTGGTAATGAGCATCCTTGTATGAGAGATGATCTCTCAGAAGTGAAGCCTCCTCAAAGGGTCATTAGTTCTTGTTAATGGTTCTGGTATTGTTGCTTTTGAGTGGTACATATGTACCAATACTAAGTGAAGACCCCTCAGAATGTAAGACCCCCTCCCCTAGCCTTCTCCCTCTCCTGCTCTTGGATAGTGTTAGCAGAAATTCCTGAGACATGGGAGCATCTTGTCTATCTCGTCCTCTAGCTGGTTGTATGACCTTGGGTAAAAGACCGCTGAAACTGTGAGGCCCTGAAAAGGGGAATGTGCTAACATAATTTCTATACCTCTTTGTTCTCTCTGTTGCTGGGGTAGTTTTTACACGAATAGATTGTATACCTAAGGCTCAGTCAATGAGCCGACGGGAAGTTAGGGTGGGCTGCTACCTTGGGGTCTATGTAATCTTACCTTGAACAAAGAGCACTTGGAACTCTCAGGGCAGCTGAGGCAGCAGGGGGGTGCACTTTCTGGAGAAAGTCAATGAAAAGATATCTCCTTCTGCAAACTTTTGTCAAGACTCTGGTTTTTTTAACTGAGTGAAACAATGTAAGCAATGTGAGATCTCTCAGATGGACTGAGTGTAGCAATTTCTTAGACTGTTACAAACTCAAGATTGGTTACACTAGCCTCAATAGGCCTAAGTTTCAGGTTCCTAGAAAACACATGATTTGTACTGTTACATCAGCAGTAGGTAATGGCTAATTACTAAAAAGGATAAAATAGCTAGGATTGGTAGTATTATAATCAGATTCCTTGTTTCTGTGGTAGATTTTTGCGTTTTTGATTGTAAGGCTGAAATTCCTGTCCAATGGGAATTCAAAGCCAGTGGTGGGTG